ACAGTGTGTTGGTCAGGCTGGTCTTGAGCTCCTGACCTCAGATGATCCGCCCACCTTGGCCTCCAAAGTGCTTGGATTACAGGCGTGAGCCACCATGCCCAGCCTCAAGCGATTGATACTCTTGCCTCAGCCTCCCAAGTAGCTGGGATTATAGGCGCCTGCCGCCATGCTTGCCTAATTTTTGTATTTTTAATAGAGGGGAGGTTTCACCATGTTGGCCAGGCTGGTCAAACTCCTGACCTCAAATGATCCACCCACCTAGGTCTTCCAAAGTGCTGGGATTATAGCCACATGCCTGGCCTGGAGTTTGTTCATTTTAAAAAGGAAATTTCATCAATATTCTTTTTCTTACAAGTTGGCCACTCCTGGATCATTAGTACTCTTTAAGTGAATCTGGTTTGCAGTTTTCTTGGGTTGTTTTTCAGTTTTGTTACTCATTTTCGGCTAAGAAAGGATTTCTTTCTTTCTTTCTTTTTTTTTTTTTTTTTGAGACGGAGTTTCGCTCTTGTTACCCAGGCTGAAGTGCAATGGCGTGATCTCGGCTCACCGCAACCTCCGCCTCCTGGATTCAAGCAATTCTCCTGCCTCAACCTACTGAGTAGCTGGGATTACAGGCATGCGCCACCATGCCCAGCTAATGTTTTTTGTATTTTTAGTAGAGACGGGGTTTCACCATGTTGACCAGGATGGCCTCGATCTCTTGACCTCGTGATCCACCTGCCTCGGCCTCCCAGAGTGCTGGGATTACAGGCTTGAGCCACCGTGCCCGGCCAAGAAAGGATTTCTAAGTGTGCTAATTTTTTTTCATCCAATCTGGAACATCTTAAATAACATGGGATTATGTGTCTTACATTTTTTAAAAGCTGATCTGAATTCTTTATCTGCTGGAGAGATTTGTTTCTTCTTAAAGAATAGTTTTAGGCCAGGCATGGTGGCTCATGCCTGTAATCCCAGCATTTTGTGAGGGATCGCTTGAGTGATGAGCCGATCGTTTGAGACCAGCCTGGACAACATGGTGAGACCCTGTCTCTACTAAAAATACAATAATTGGCTGGTGTGGTGGCACACACCTGTGTTCCCAGCTACTTGAGAGACTGAGGCAGGAGAATCACTTGAACTTGGGAAGTGGAGGTTGCAGTGAGCTGAGACCCAGCCACTGCACTCCAGCTTGGGTGACAGAATAAAACTGTCTCCAAAAAAAAAAAAAAAAAAGTT